CCGGATTCTAGTGTTGTAAGTCCGCAGACATACCGCTGTGCCATTGGGGGGGGCTAGAGAAAGAAGTAACACTTTATGTATCTTAAAGTGCTTCTATTCATCACAGTATTATTTACATTATTCGTTATTCTAGTCTTGATTGGCGACGTTCTATGTTAACTGTTGTGTTTCTCGAATTAGTTTTTTTCCCATTGTTGCGCTTCTACCCCAGAGCCAGTTACGGTATTTGGTGTACGAAACGACAGGTAGTATGTATCCTCGTCCATACTAGACTCAGGATCGTATCCTCGAGCTTCCATGCGAGGATTTAAGAGCCTCCATTCTGAAAAATCATCAAGACAGTGTTGGTGTATAATAGTTTCGCTTTTAGAACATCTCAATGTCCTCGTAGGACTTGTTTTCAATTGGCACTGACTTCCCGATTTTAATTTTAGGTTTTTTCGGGAACTTTGACTAGAAAAAGACCCTAACGGTACTGGCAAGCTTTTCAGCGACAGCTTTTTCAGAGAGTTATCAGATGCCACTTTACGGCTTGGAGTCAACCTACTGACCAAACCAACGCTAGACGTGATGTTAGATTCATTGTTGGAGACATTATCAGCACTAACATTGAGAAGGGAAGAATCGTAGATATTAACGACGTTTCCAAGAAACATCTCTTCAGTTTCTTGCAAGTTTTCTTTGGCATTTTGCTGTAGCCATTTGTAAACATCTCTCTCGTTGTCTTGGCAACTGTCATGTCCCGGATCCTCTTTAATGGCAATTCGCGGATGAAAGAAGGCATCTTTCTTTTGACCCTCTTGAGTGGACGGATCAGAAAAGGATGTATCGTTAGTGTTTGATGAATCAATCTTTTGATCTCCTGCGGATTGGTCACTACGAGCAAGAATATGGTCATCTTTATAAGTAGAAATGTCGCTGCTGTCTTCATGACTCGTTTCAGCTAACCTGTTATAGAAACATTTAAATTTAACTTCGAGTTCTTTACTCTTGAAAGACAAAGGTGAACTTCGATCTTTCCTTAAAGAGCTATGGCATAACATATCTTGTTGTGAATTCTGCGCGTGTCTAATGTCCGATTTTCTGACTATCTGTTGCTGATGACAAGTATCATCCACCGCTGCCTGACGGCAGAGACGCGGTTTATCACGAGCTATACAAGAGGAAGGTTCGTAACTGGTAGGTATTTTTTCTCGGACGCTCCCTAAAGGTCGTACAAGCTGACCACTGTCTGTGAGACCACGACGTTCACGAAAATTGAGTAGCCCTGGCCGATGATTTGAAGAGTCACTACTAACACTGGATCGGGAAATTCGGATGGTAGATGTAGAAGAATCTTGTCTACTGGAAGACATGTTAGAATCTTGGGAAAACTTTCGCTTGAGATTGGGGCGTCCACCCCGCGGGGGGATGTTGCCTTGTCTCCAACTGTCTGATCGGGAGGAGAAGTTCTCACTGGAGATGCTTGTTGCCCGTTTCGTTCCACGCCCCATGTTTTTCTGAATCTGTGCGATAGCGTATGTATAGTCATTACTTTCGGATTCCCCCGTCTGGTTTTGGCACATTAAATACCTCATAACCACTCGCTTCCACCGTCTTCTTCTACCTCCGTCAGTAACCATATGAACACCGCAATGGCAAGGTGGAAGATCATTTCCGCCGCTCTTCCTTTCAACTGCAGAGTTTGTGTTGGCTGGTGTATGTCTGTTTGAAAAGTTGGAGCTGTGACGACATCGGCCAATTCCACGCGTTACCCGAGATTCCTCTATTCTCTTGCAGATCAATACACAATCCTTCTTAAACTGTTTAGTGAAGATGGCATACAGAAACGGATTGGCACAGCTGTTGAATGGCAGAACAAATATGGTGAAGACTTTGGCTTCCTCCAAAGATATCAGATTCAGACCCGACACAGCAGAAAGGGAGAAAAATGCGATTGGTGCCCAACAGACGAAGTCTGTAAAGACGAGTAGAGCCATTCTCTTGGCAATGCGCGAGTCATTGGAATTCCAGGCATGGGATCCTCTGATGGCACAGTACATCTTCAGGTAGCATCCCATCAGGATGAGAAACGCAACGCCGTTAACAAGAATCAGAAACACAACATAACCTAGAGACACTGCTGGATCGGTCTCAAACGGTAGACAAATGGCGAACTTCCTATAGTCACTGACCCCAAACAAAGGCATTGAAGCCATGATCAGAGCGAACACCCACCCGCAGATCATGATGTAACCAGCATGTCTGAGAGACAGTCGTTTGTTGAGATGCATGGCGTGAGTGATTGCGTAATTCCGTTCCAGAGTTATGACGGATAAGGTGTACACTGATAACTCGCTGCTCAGAACCCCCAGGAATCCAGCTACTTGGCAGCCTGTCGATGTCTGCCAGGCGATAGCGAATACCTGGAAAACAACAACAAAGAATGAGCTCTTCATACAGATACTGCAGTCAGTGTAAATGATTGCTCCTTGGAGCTATTGGTTTGATTACCATAGTTTCGCCAACCTGGCGTTGTTATGATGATTATAGTAACATAATTATTTATGCGTTTAATTAATAATTTGATACAATAACTAGAAAGCTTCTTTTGCATTGAGAATTATAAAAATGACAAACATTCCACATGAAAGGAATTCATAAGAAAATAACAAGACAGAATGAATCACTTAGTGTAGGAAGCAAACCGAAACCAAAACTTACACACTCCATTCATTTCACTGCAGGTTTTTGACATTTGACAAAGAAAATATTCATCCAATCTTAATTTCTGTATTGATAAAGATGTGAGAGGTACTAAATATAACCGAAAGTACAATGTAGACATTTGTTGCTTTAGGCTAAGGACGTTTTCCAAGGACTTGGCCCACTAGGAGTAGCTGATGAGGTAGGGTTTGGTTACTTTATTTTATAATCAATATTTTTTTATTGTTTATTAATACTTATATGGTCCTCAAATAACAGATACACATTACGTCATCTAAAGGACATGGGCTAGAAACATTTCCGGCTAAAGTTCATTTACAATTTAATCAAGAAAGCAAGGAAGTGACCACATGAAACATTATAATGTCATATTTTTATACTATCTTATAGATGAAAAACAAAACCTTAATCATTATTTACATCCGATGATGGAGGATGGTGAACCTACCAAAAACTGCGGAGTTAACATTAAAATATGTCACCGGGGCTCGAAACTAACAAACTTCTTTGAAATGCCTTACAAATTTAAGGCAAGAAACAGATGAGTCTCACTAAAACTTAATACGAATTGGAGACGAAAAAAAAAAAGAAGAGTTTCACTAAAACGTGGTACGAATTGGAGACGAAAAAAGAAGTTTCACTAAAACGTGATACGACTTGTAGACGAAAAAAGAAGTTTCAGAGTTTCACTAAAACGTGATACGAATCCGAAAGAAAAAACAAAAGCACGAGTTATCCTAAAATGATATATAAATCTAAAATTCAAACAGCAAAGTTCCCTAAATCGCAATAACAATTCAAAGTCAAGATTAGACGAGGTTCACTAAATCGTAATGCTAATCTGAAAACAATAATATCATCTCTAGCAGAAATGTCTCGCATATTAGCTCAGAACGAGGTGCAATTTCAAATTACAAACAAAACTAATTTTAGGGTAAGTAAAGAAAAAGATGCTCACCCTAAATTCTCCAAGAGTTGAAGCGTCTACAACTGCTAGAAGCCCTAAATAAATACCCATGAAGAAGTCTGCAACCGCCAAGTTGCATACTAGAAACCTGGGGACGTCCATTTTGCTACGACCAAAGAGAAGAACGAAAACAACGACGCCATTACCTAACATGGCGAGTAGAAATACGATCCACACTCCACATCGTAACGTCCACCAACCAAATAAATCCTCGCACGGCATAAAGGGGTCTGAAAAAAACAACAACAAAAAACGTTTTTAGTATTCGGTAAAAAAGCTGAAAAAATATTTTTGTTTCGTTTAGACCAAAGCCACATAGAGATATCTGCTCCTTCCCCGCGGGGAATCGAACCATAGATTTTAGGGTTGTAAATCCTTAGACTTGCCGCTGCCCCATCGGGGAGGCTTCAGTAATTCACAATATATATATATATATATATGCAAGGTTTCTCGAATGCTAAAACATAAGAATTATGATGTTAAATAATGTTGAAAACTACGGGATTGAAACAGGTTGGTTAGCCCTCTCAGTGGTAAGTCTGAGGGTTTATAACGCTAAAAACCCTGCATTGTAAGACTGATTATTCTACAAACTCACGCTCACCTCTTTACGCGTCATTACATTAGTAATAATTAGTGGTGTAATTTCCTTCTCGGAATCTTAGGCTTTCATTTAAGTTACAACAACGCACCTGGTGTCACTTGGGCCAAGCTTACATTTCAGTTAGAACAACGCACCTGGTGTCACTTGGGCCAAGCTTAGCCTTATGGTTAGTGTGCTGAGGGTTTGTGGTTTACAAAATCACTCTCCGCACTTTGGGGGCGTGGGAGGGTTAAAAAAAAAACTGATAGTCAAATTATATTATGTGACTAGAGTGGTCCAACTGTTGGCAGCGGATGATCTTGACTAGCTGTCTGTCCTAAAACTAGAGTTCAAAATTAGCGCACAGAGACCCCTTCTGTAGCTTTGTTCGAATATCCAACACAAAGGCCGAGCGTGGCCCGTTGGTACTCTGAATCCGATGATTCATGGTTCGGGTCCGGTTGTCACAAAAACCTGTGCTCGGTTATTTGGGGTCATAGATTCACGGTCAGATTCCACCATTCGACCAAAAAGAGCAACCCAGGAGTTGGCGATAGGTGATATTGACTAACTGCTTTAACAACTAGAGACGTCAATAGTAAAGAGGCAGACGTCACAGCAGTACGTGTGGTAGTAAATCTGAGAGTAGTAATAAGTACTGTAATTCTCTGTTGCTGCTTAAATAAATTATAACTAGTGTTTGATGTCCAGAATTTGTGATGTTCAAGATAACAGATATGGTGGTGACAAACAAACCAGATCTGCGTTTAGAGTAATACATACCAGCTGGGGTATACACTGTACTAGTAGAAAAATACATACCGGGCCGTGGTATACACTGTACTGGGTACTGAGAAAGAAGAGATTCTTCGCTGTTGTAAGCAGACTTGTAATCTTCAAAGTAATCCTCAGTGTACTGAGCCGAGTTTTCAGGAGCGCTGTAATCTCGACCTCTTGACTTCCACAACTGGTCCATAAACTCCGTGAATGTAGAAGAGAAGTTGCCTGTTGGGAGAGATCTTATAATCAACATTCACTTTGATTTGAAATTGTTATTGTTTTTCTTACATTTTGAATACTATAAATGTATAGGAAACAATGAAAACTGTCATTATGGAGTTTCGCCAAGTACCGACGGTTTCGAGTATCAATTGTATAAAACTGTTAAAATCGTAGCTCGTCCACGTTTTCCATCGAGTCTTACTTATGTTAGTTTTGACTGTTTCTGTTGAAGACTGTTAGATGTTACTAAGTCTTCTCTTCCTTTCAACTTTTTAGGTCTTAACTTCTTCAAAATACCCCGAGAATACACGTGCTCGCTCGCGCATGAAGTTTGATTAATATCAGAGCAGAGTCAGAGATATTTCAGCTGATGACACAGAGTAGAACCAAATGGTAACAGGTGTAACTGGACAGAGACATCTGTTACAACTTCAAGTAACCAGAGAGCAAAACTAGGTGGTTACGTACCATGTAACAGGTGTAACTCCTCGCAGAGACAACTGCTATAGCACCATGTAACCAAAGCTAATGGAACAAAGCAAAATTAGATGGTTACATACCATTAAAAATGGGAATTAGACAAAGACAGTTATTAAAACTCCTAGTAACCAAAGTCGATGGTAAAGAGCCAAATTTTCCTGCTACGTATCCGCGAAAACCGACCAATAAGAAAATAATAAAAGATAGGACAAACTGCAGTCCTGATCCTCCCAAAACCGGAAAACAATGAAACGGTTCTCGTCTGTAATAACCGGATATGAATACAGACCACGTTACCCTACTGAGTTACTCGTATTATATTTGTTAAAAGAAAAGAACAATAGTTTAATGTTGAGAGCCCCTCGTCTGATCTTTATAACCAAACACAACCTAGTAAAGTTAAATAATGTTATAATTACAACAACTGAAGAGTTTATTCGTGTTCCAGTGGACCTGCAGAGAAATATCACCATGGTAACTTACCGTAGCCAGGCCAAACATCAGTCATGTTATTGTTCCAGATACTCATGTCGACGTCATCTTTCGATAGCCATACGATAGTTTCTTGTAGAGTAGAGGGTTTGTGAGCCTTAGGAAGGAATGCACAGCAGTGGTAAGCATACGACAGGACTAATTTGTGGGCCCGCGGAAATGATTCCGGTGGTGGAAAGTCCTTAAGGTTAGGATTGTTGAAAGTCTTGAGCTGCTGTAAATTTTGTAAACCATCGGTTGGTAGAGTAGAAAACTGGTTGTTTCCAAGATTCCTACAAGAGATGGTTAAGAAGCAAATCCTTAATATTAGAATTGTTAAGTCTTGAGAGTGGCAAGCTTTGTAAAATTTGGGTTGGAAGAGTTGTTTCTAAAATTTCTGTAAAGAGTAGTTTTACAGAAATTAAACCATAATTTCAGATTTACTTTGAATATAATAGGTAAAGCCGTTTTTCTATAGCTTGTGTCTTAGCCCTGTTTAACTGGTAAGCTTTTTAACCGATACTTTACATCTTACCCTTGTATAGCAGCTAAGTTGTTCTACTACACATGGTGTCTTAGCCCTGTTTAACTATTAAGCTGTTTATCTTTCGCGTTATTAACAATATTTCCACTGTTTCTTTCTGCTAGATAAGGAACCCATAGCTGAAGTAACGGACTTGGAAGTTAGGCCTATGTCTGCATAACGAGCAACCAATCAATCTACAACTTTGTCTGTTACTGTTACGTCTATTTAAATCAAAATGAATGCGACTATATTAATAAAAAACATAAATTATTTTACTTTTTATTATTGAGCTTATTCAGAAATTTCTGCAATTAAAGTTGAAATCTACTCAGTAGCTTAAATGTAGATTTATAGAATCTAACAAAAATAAATTATAATTATTCATACTTGTCATAAGACATTAGTATTAGGCCTAACACTAATTTCCTTTGACGAGTATAATTAATTAATTATTTTACTTTTTTATTATTGAGCTTATTCAGAAATTTCTGCAACTAAAGTTGAAATCTACTCAGTAGTTTAAATGTAGATTTATAGAATATAACAAAAATAAATTATAATTATTCATACTTGTTATAAGACATTAGTATTAGGCCTAACACTAATTTCCTTTGACGAGTATAATTAATTATAAGCATGCTTCGCCAGTTTGGAAAAGGCTTTCACATCATAACAATTATTGTTGTAAAAACAAAACAAAAACACAAATTAACACAAACGCACTACACACATATCATATGTAAATATTTACTTGAAGATATATCTAATCTTAATCAGGTTATAACTTATATGCTTTATTTGATCTCGAACTATAAACTTAACATTTAGTTTTAATAAATTAATTAATTTATGAGTAATTATCTGTGAAAGACTAACAATAATTATGAAGACAGACCGTTTAATTTCATTCAATCCGAATCTCTCTACTGTTGACAACGGTTAACTTTTATCGATAACTTTTTTTCATTTTTTTTAAAAAGGAAACTAATAGACTTACAGATCTCTTAACTTTGACACATGCGCAAAAGCATTGACGTGAATGTACGTAATCCGGTTGTTCTTCAAGTCCCTGAAATCATCAATAAATGTTTTAGATACAAAGTTTTTTTAAGTTACTAAAAGCATCACCAAAGTAAATTTAGTACTTAAAAAAAGCAATGAAGGAACTAAATATTATTTGTAGACTACGTTAATAAATTCATCAACGTTTATCGGTAAAATATGAAATAAAATTTGAGTAAGTAACATTGGTGGTTTGGGAAACTTTTCAATATATGGTATTAAAACTGTATTTTGAGCTATCTGTGTTCTGTTCAAGCGGGGAAAGAAACCCCGGATTTTGTAATTGTAAGTCCGTAAACTTACTGCTGACACAGCGGTAGACACACTTTTTATTATATGGTGTGAAAGGCCTGGTAGAAAAACTTGAATTTCATCTTCAGAAAAATGTAAAGAAAAACACCACCCGCCACCAACTGTTGGTGGTGATAGGGACAGGATATGTTATTACTTTAGAAGGGAATATCGTTAAGGGACAGAGTAGGCCATTACTGTAGAGGGGAATATCGTAACAGGGACAATATATTTTATTATCACAGAGGGAAATATCGTTTCAGGGACAGGATTTCCCCATCCTGTACACATATTTGTTCCGCTAAAACAAACCTTGCGTAGTTTGGTTCAAACCGTGAGAGTTTTATATGCCTATAAAATGAATTACTAAGCTCTGTTTTAATTTTAAGAGCTTCTTAAGAGCAGTTTTATGTTCAAAGATTCAGCTATTATGAACGTTTATCATTAACAAATTTGTTTGTTTGTTTGTAATTAAGCACAAAGCTACACAATGGGCTATCTGTACTCTGCCCACCACGGGCATCGAAACCCGCATTATAGCGTTGTAAGTCCGCAGACATACCGCTGTGCCACTGGGGGGCCATTAACAAATCAAGTCTTTCTATGAATGTCAGTTTTTATTAAACTTAAACTATTTTTTATGTATTAAAATTTGTGTGTTGTCATAATATTTATGAGGGTCGCGGGTTCGAATCCCCGTCACACCAAACATGATTGCCCTTTCAGCCGTGGGGGCGTTATAATGTGACGGTCAATCCTACTATTCGTTGGTAAAAGAGTAGCCCAAGAGTTGGCGGTGAGCGGTGATGACTAACTGCCTTCCCTCTAGTCTTACACTGCTAAATTAGAGACGACTAGCGCAAATAGTCCTCGTGTAGCTTTGCGCGAAATCCATAACAAACAAACAAACAAGTCCGGAACTTACCGCTGATCCACCTGGGGACATATCTTACGTCAATCATTGGATCATATCTATTTTGAAAAACTCCAGTCTCAATACAAATCTCAGGCTCATTTAAAGTATACCATATAAAATTGCGTTGATTTCACACACACACACAAATCAGACTAACTCTTCTTGTCATCGTTAAATTTAAACACCTCACAAGAAAGCATAGCATAAGTCATGCTATAAATCAAACATTGACAGTCCTTGATTTGTGTTTCTTCCTGAAATTTAACTTTTGATATTCAAAATACACATACGTTTCATTGGATATTGGTCGTTTGAGGCTTAGAGTTTAGCGTGTACGGCTGCGGATTGAAAAGTTCAAGGTTCGAGTAGCGATATGCGGCTGTGAAGGCGTTATAGCTGTGATAACAAATTCCGCTATTCGGTTAAAAGCAGCAGGTGCTAAAAACTGATTGCCCCTTCTGGTCAACATTTCTAAATTAAGAATAGTTATGTATGACCCTTGGAATATCTGATCTGGTCGCCAAAGTGTCGCTCAGGTCGAAAATACCATTTTTTTCCCTTCCGAGTAGTTTGAACATAGACCCTTCCAAATGTTCGTTACTCGGAGGTAACAGTATGTTGACAAACTAAAGTTTGAACATAGACCCTTCCAAATGTTCGTTACTCTGAGGTAACAGTATGTTGACAAACTAAAGTTTGAACATCGACCCTTCCAAATGTTCGTTACTCTAAGGTAACAGTATGTTGACAAACTAAAGATTGAACATAGGCCCTTCCAAATGTTCGTTACTCTAAGGTAACAGTATGTTGACAAACTAAAGATTGAACATAGACCCTTCCAAATGTTCGTTACTCTAAGGTAACAGTATGTTGACAAATTAAAGTTTGAACACTGAAAGTTGAATGAATAATGTAATAACTTGACAATTAAATATACATCTATAATAGATCAGACAGTTATTTAAAACACCATATGAATGATATATATATATACATATATATATTAGGTAGGTGTATTAACAGTTTATGGATATTGATTATATATTTCTTTGAACAACAAAGTGAATTAAAGCAATAACAAATAATGTATGTGCTGTTTTATCGTGAAAACATCAATACACAATGTGGATTGGGCAGAATTCTTAAGAAGTGTTACTTTTTGCCACCAGAGGGGATATTTCCATTGCCCCATTGCTAAAAATGTTCACTATGTCCTAAAACCCCGTTGTACCAACCTTTACACACACTTTTCATCGTTCTTACGGGTTTGAGGCTGTTCGACTGTTCTAGAACTCATAGTCTAAATACAAGTTAAAGTCAAATATTGGGCCTAAAGTTTAAAGAGAAACAAAGAAAAAAAACACATTCTGATTCTTACATCACTTGAAGACTCTGTAATCCCACAAAAGAATCTTCGGGTATGCACTCAATGAGGTTGTTTCCCAGAAATAGATCAATTAGTTTTATTTGGTTTCTGAATGGGGTTTCCTCTAAGGATGAGATGTGGTTATAGCTGAGATCTCTAGAAGAACAACAAAAATCGTATAACGATTCTAGATAGCTAGGCATAGGCATAACTGCTGTGAGTTCAGTCTTTCTTATAACAATGACAGAGACAAACGTTTATGAAAAGTATAAAAAGTGTCATCTTTCGTTATTTACTTCTCTGGTTGGAAATCCGTCCAAACTTGGTAAATAAAGTAAAGAAAAGTTGATTTCAGTTAGGTATGGATTCGCAGAAAGTATTTTGTTCTGGGTAAGAGAAAAATAATGAAGATCTATTACTGAATCAGAAAATTATAAGTCTAGTTTAAAAATACTGATATGGAAAGATCACTCAATAGAAACGGAATTAGCAAATGGAGTTGAAAGAAAAAAAATGGAAAACATTATTAGTTAAGAAACCGGTTTCGTTGCGTTAAATACTCACATAAGACGAAGTTCCGCACAGTTTCCAAGTTCTGGAAGTTTCGAGAGTCGATTGGATTTCAGGTTGCTGCAAGCAAGCATTTTTTACTTTCAACGTAAATTTATTTATAAATCAAGTTCCGTAAAAAATATCATCATATGGAAAATAAACATTGAAATATGAAACAGTAAAAACGTCAATAAAATACATAAAATAGTTGGCTAAACAATGACAAATAAGGTTTTAATACTGTCTAACTACAATGACGAGAGGTTCAGTTGTCTGTAGACATAACTGTCATGGTAAATTATATTTCAGTTTTCTGTAAACCTAACTACCACAATAAATTATTTTTCTGTCGTCTGTAAAATCTAACTGACAAGACAAATTATACTTCAGTTGTCTGTAAACCTAACTACCACAATAAATTATATTTCAGTTGTTTGTAACCCTAACTACCACAATAAATTATATTTCAGTTGTCTGTAAACCTAACTACCACAATAAATTATATTTCAGTTGTCTGTAAACCTAACTACCACAATAAATTATATTTCTGTCGTCTGTGAACCTAACTACCACAATAAATTATATTTCTGTTGTCTGTAAACCTAACTACCACAATAAATTATATTTCAGTTGTCTGTAAACCTAACTACCACAATAAATTATATTTCTGTCGTCTGTAAAATCTAACTGACAAGACAAATTATACTTCAGTCGTCTGTAAACCTAACTCCTAGGACAAATAATATTTCAGCTGTCTGTGAACCTAATTATTAATGATTCGGTTAAAGTTTCATGAGATAGCAAGTTATTTGTAAAGACAACAAAGATAAGCATTACTATTTTAGGTGTACACTAAAGTTTTAACACGTTAGTGATCCGTATAGTTTTAACACGTTAGTGATTCGTATAGTTTGGGAAAGTTCAATGGTGAAGTGACAAGGTCAGTTTTTTCCTGCCTCTAGAAGAAGTTTTATTAATAATAATTAATATATTTCTTGGTACGTTTGGACTATTTCAGATTATTGATTTATGTAAACTTGAGAGCTAACTATGAATTATGTATTGTTTCATGGTCTTACAGACTCTTCAGGTGCGGTGTCTGACTGCAAAACCAGGATGGTACTTTCTGTAAGAGACCCCTGTTTAACAGAATATGTTCCAAAGCGGTTGTACCGTTCAGGTCAGGAAATTCCGCTAGGTGGTGAACTTCCCTGAGAACCCTAGAAGTAAAACAACAACATTTAAATTAGGAGTGACGAGATCCACGATATTCAGGGTTTTTTGGTTGTTTGTTTTATTTAAATTTTTTCATTTGTCGAATTAACACCAGGTTCCAGTTTCCCAGTCTTTTCTTTAAAATTTACTGTTACAAAATAATCTTATAAAATATGCTTTAATCTAACTATTTGCTGTATCTTGTTACTGTTTTATGGTTTTGAGGCGATCAACTAAACCGATAGAGTAAAAAAATAAATAAAAGATATGGCAACTTTTCAATATGAAAGCTCAGAGAAAATTACCCAAAACTGAATTAGGCCTAGAAAAATTTGTCAAGTTTTTAAAAGAGTAGAATATAACACGGAGGAAACATAACTTTCTTGATCCTTTAAATAAATTCTGTATGTTAGGGTTAAACAAGAACAGATTAGGCAGTTGTTGTGCATCATTAATTAATATCAACTATTGTATTTAAAACAGGCAGGATAGGACGTTAATTGGTAAATATGTTACGGAGTTTAAATCATCATTTAACTAATTCGTACCAAATGTGGTTTGCATTTGCAAGTTTTTCTTTTTGTTTTTGCTGATATTATTTTTTCGTGACGTAAATAAGTTGATGTAGCATATACACCCGAGTTCACAGACAGATAAACCTAATACACCCGAGTTCACAGACAGATAAACCTAATACACCCGAGTTCACAGACAGATAAACCTAATACACCCGAGTTCACAGACAGATAAACCTGTATAACACGATTCACTTCTGTTTACTAGACATCATTCTGTAAACGATGTTCGAAACAGTGTATCGAGGTTTGCGTTTCACAGAATAATGGTTACTTTCAGGCCGTAACGCTAATGTGAAAATTATAAGTAACATCTGTGTTACTCGTGGCTTATGGTACCAAACACTAGCGTTACAATAAAAAAAAATGTTCTCATTTAACCAAACACGTGCGTTGATTTCGAAACAGAACAATGTCTTCAATTGTTCTATAGCATTTCATTACTACAATAAGATCAATAAAAAAATCAACTTGTATACTACACACTAAAAAATACACACAAGAAATGATGAATTCTTTCAAAATGGAGGACATAGATGAAGTTTCAAGATATCGACATTCTGGTCAATTAATTGATTATTTTGGTTAACTTACAGGTAAAGTTAAAAATGAATACAATAGCTACAGAAAGAAGGATATGGGAGTTTTGGGGGTGAAAAATTTCCCCCAAAGATGTTCAGGAACTGGAGTCCAATGAAAGGATAGACGGCCGGAATTTAGAAGTTAGGTTTACAGGAGGTAGGAGAAATAGTATGTGCATTGTTGAAGAGGAAAGTAGAGGGAGGGAAGAGAAAATATGTATTTCAATGACGACTAGCAATTGAGCGTAAAGATTGTTATTTAACACAGTCACGCTACTGATAGAATTAATACAAGCTTTGTTATGGTAAATTTCTGTTTAGTAAGGATTTTTTAAACACAATCACACTTCTAATAAAGTTGATAGAAACAGTTTTGTTACTTTGTGTTGATAAAAGATGGCTATTTAACACTGAAATAACACTATACCGATTAAAAAATATCTTTCAAACAAGTGGTGTTTTAGCGGGAAGGTGCTGTTTATTTCATTAACTTTAGTGGTGGTTCATTAGATGATCAATAGATCACACACATCTCTAGAATATTAGAGAGAGTTAACTTTTTCGTTCTTCCTTAATTTTATTAGAGAGAGTTGTTTTTTTTTAAGTTCCTTACAATTCTTTCAGGTTCGGAAGATTAGAAAAAGCAAATCTTCCCACGTCCTCGATCGGGTTTCTTCCCATCTCAAGCAGAGTCAATTGTCGATTGTTCTTGAAGGCCTTGTCAGGGACGTAGGAGATCCGGTTGTTGACAAACGTTCTTCAAAAGTTAAAAGAGGTGTCCATGAGCCTTTTGGGATACTTCGCCATTTTTAATTCTTTGCCAACATTACTTTTTATACGTTAAGTTTTAATGAATGATTCAAAGGGTATGGCCATATTATAAGTAAGTTAACATCAAGATGGGACAGGTATAAAAAAGACGATATATAATTGACAAGGAGAGACGTCGTAATTAGATTAAATTTCGGTCTAAACTATGTGCGTATAAATATGATTTGGATTAATTTAATATGAAGTAATAAGTGCCGGTCAACATATAAACACTTACAACTCTCTTAGACGATGAAGACTGGACAGCGCTTCGGGCAAATATTTTAGGTTGTTGTTGTTTATTTCTCTGGTAAAATAGAAATAAAAAATATATAAATTATTAAACGTCGTTTGAAGACCGAAAATTACAACATGTTTCTATTCTACAGATCAACAAAACATTGTGGCCTGCTTTTTAAATGAACGACCTGGCTGTACGGTTGTGACAACTTGTGCAGTTCGAAGGGCTAAGATACAGCGATTCAACTAAGCTCAGACATAATTTCTACAATCAGAGAACAGGAATTCTCAAACATATTAACACTATCATAAGCTTATAATATTTGTTAAGATATTTATACGTCATTTATGTCGTTAAGATGACGCCCAGAAAATTCATTTAAATGCTGTTGACAACACTTCAGCAAATATCTTTTCATAAATTTGTGTTTTATGCATAAATTAAAATTCAATATACTTTCGATTGTCTTATAACATTCTATTTTTTGCTCTAGAGCTACAGATAATTACAGAAACCGGTTGATTAATGTGACTATTGTTCTACCACACTATAGCTACAGATAATTACAGAAACCGGTTGATTAATGTGACTATTGTTCTACCACACTATAGCTACAGATAATTACAGAAACAGGTTGATTAATGTGACGATTGTTCTATCACACTAGAGCTACAGATAATTACAGAAACCGGTTGATTAATGTGACGATTGTTCTATCACACTAGAGCTACAGATAATTACAGAAACCGGTTGATTAATGTGACGATTGTTCTATCACACTAGAGCTACAGATAATTACAGAAACCGGTT